GAGAAAAAATATGTAAGTAAAGATGTAACAGACTTGAATAAAAACCACGTTTGCATAAGGGCAACTCATCCCCTTAAAAACAGACAGTAGTGTTTTGCCAAAGAAAGTCTTAAGTCTAACTTAGCAACAGGAATAGATTTGGGGGTTCTAGTTTAAACTTGCCCAGTAGAATGTCTGAGGACGTGGCCCAGGAATCTGGAGCTTGGGAAATTCTCTGGGCCGTTCTTCCACAACCTGAAGTTTGAGAACCCTGACTTAGGAAGAGGCATAACCTGGACTGGCTACAGAATCACTGAGAATTTTAGGATGTTCAGATGCAAGGCCATACCCTGGATGAACTGCATCAGAGATTCTGAGTGGGACACCTATACATCAGCATTAAAAAAATGTATGTGTGGGGCTGGAGAGATGGCTCAGAGGTTAAGAGCATTGCCTGCTCTTCCCAAAGTCCTGAGTTCAATTCCCAGCAACCACATGGTGGCTCACAACCATCTGTAAGGGGATCTGGTGCCCTCTTCTGGCCTGCGGGCATACACACAGAAAGAACATTGTATACTTAATAAATAAATAAATATTTTTTAAAAAATGTATGTGTGCCCATGTGTGCATGTGGAGGCCGGAGGTTGATATCAGTTGTTTTTCTTGGTCTTGCTCTGCCTTATTTTTGACACAGGTTCCTCACTGAGCCTAGAACTCATGAATTCAGCTAGGGTACCTGGCCGTTACGCTCCGGGATCTGTCACTGCTTGCTCCAGAGCTGGGGTTGTAGAGGTATGCTGCCGCATCTGACATTTTATGTGGGTTCTGGGGATCTGGACTCAGCTCTCATGCTTGCCCAGTGATTTACTAACTGAGCCTCTCTCCAGGCCCTGCATCAGCATCTGTGCAGCAAGGTTGAGGTGTTTGCCCCAGGCGAAGGCTTGTACAGAGAGGCCTGTGTGTCCCGCTGACCTTTCCCAGGTGACACTGTCTTGGCATGATTCAGGCTTTATTCCAGTTAAAGGAGACACAATCTCCTTCCTTATGTAGGATTAAAGCATACTCATTGGTACCCCTAGCACCCTGGTTGGCATATGGCATGGCTTGGAGGTCATTTCATGCTCTAAGTTCAACCATGTGAAACTGAAGGGAATTTATCAAAATGTAGGTGAATAAACATTTCACTAAGCCCCCCAAATCTCACACGATCAGCAAATCCAGGCACAGAATTAGGCCATGACGCACACGAACACAACAAAGCAAAGCCCTTCTCTTTGAGTTCTCATGGACTGGGGAGATGTGTGGAGAAGCACATTCAAGTAAGCAAAGACAGAAGAGTTCATAGAGTACATTCTGAGTCGAAAGAAAGGAATCCTCCTGAAAGGCAGGACCGAGGAAGGTGCTGAAGAGTCAGAATCTCAGGCTGTCTTGAGGCATTGCTATGACTTGGGAAGTAGAAAATTAGGGATGTGTGTAGTTGGCGCATAGGGAGAAAGTCAAGTCAGATGGGCCCTCTCCAACCTTCATGCAAGGCTGGAAGGCAGGCACCGAAGGCTCTTTTTCTTTCTGAGTTCCTGTTAGTGCGTTCATTTTTCAAATATTTTGCCTCTGTATTATTAATTCTACCTCCCAGAGCCTCCGCCGACTTCATCTAGAAAGGGTTTGTCATTAGCATTTCTGCAGGGAGCACCTGCTACCCCATCCATTCCTATTAACTGACAGCCAGGGCAATGGGGCTGACTAGGAGAGGGATCTTAATCCCCTGCTTATGACTGACTTATTTCCTAATTGAAGATGCCGGGTTTAATGTCACAAATGGCGTCCCAAGAAAAATCCACCTTTAAGACACGGTTCTCAATTTTATAGTATCATCTATGTAAAAGATGTTAAAATTTTATCAACCGCATGATTATGAATAATGACAAAGATACCTCAGACACCACTTGAGTGCGAAAATCCCAGGCTGGCGTGATGGGTCATGACTCAGCTGGGCTGCCGAACAGGAAGGACAATGTCTCAAAACCAGAGAATTCCAGGGTAGCAGATGTTACTTTACTGACTGTTACTTAGCATATATACGATTCTGCATAGCGAATGTCCATTACATTACAGACCAGTAGAGCAGATGATGGATCCTATGTTCTTTTCTCTTTACTAAGCAAACGGTTCACATTACTGTCATGTGATGGATGTCGCTTTTAAAGCCCAGGAGAGGAACCAGCTGCCATGGTGTAAACACACCATGATTTATGGGGAACGGCAGAAGAAAAGGTTTTAAAAATCAAATTGTCATTGACGTGGAGCCTAATTTGGTTTCTATGGTGACATTAGGCCCCTCTACAATAGACATGGAACACACTTAAATTAAGGAGCTATCCAGAATCATAGCAAGAAAAAGAATGTCAGACAATAGGCAAGGAAAAAAAAAATCAACGTTCCAAATAGGCCCATACATCCCAAACATTTTTTCTCCACAGCATATATGTTAATTTATAGAATATATTATTTCTCCACAGCTATTTTCACCCAAAGCCCATTCCTCTAGAATTGATTAATGTTTCTTCTGGGACAACAACAACAGCCACAAAGTAAATTCCACAACTAATTTGTCATAAATTCAAATTGTTCATTAAAGAAATGTCTTTCAGCAAGACTCATTTTTTTCATGTTTCAAAATACAGCAAAAGGGCATCAGTGGCCACAAAGTCATATGCATGTATTTCACAGAGTCATATGTATATATTTTACAGAAAAAGCGATTTTGCTAGACTTCCGGTAGCTGGTAAAAGCTGTCCTTCTCACCGGCACTGAGAATGTCCCCTACTCTGTCTGACCATCCAGTATTTGTGTAATCGGAAACATGAAGCAGGGCATGCCTACTACAGGTGAGGTTTTGCTGTAGGGAAGACTGCTACATGGAACAAAGGCACAGACCAACATCAGTAGTGAGGTGCATCTGAGAGCCATGCTCATTTTCGACTGTCTGACCCAGCGTCCACAAACAGAACAACTCCAGCCAGTTCAACCTAAACCGAACGGGATCACCCAAGGCAGTGTGGAACCTTGAGTTGGCATGATCTCTACGAAGGTCAGAAGGAGGAAGATCCTGGTGGGTGGTGGGTAAGGGTCCATCCGCCAGACAGGGCAGAAAGGAAACAAGAAGATGAAGGGGGCTGGAATCCGATGCCAGGCTACCCACAGGCTTCTCAGATAATGAGCCAGGACTTGTGAGCGAGAAAACCATGGCAGAACCAGAAAGGCATGTCTTTCTTTGTGAGTTTCTTTAAAGTCCCGGCTTGTTTGTTCCCTTCTCTCCTTTGATCCTCTGTTACTAGTATAAACATTATTGTGAAAACCCCACTTCCCTGTGGCTGTCCAAGAAAAAGGAGCTTTTCCCTTGCTTGAACCAGAGTTTTGAAAGGAAGTGACGGACCACTTCTGGGAGACCAGTATGGCTGTGATACCAGCTAACCCAGAGAGAGCTAGCTGGGGGGTGGGGGGGACAGAACTCATGAAGACGTGGAATTCTGAGGCAGGAGTCTGATTTTTGCCTTAACAAGAGTTTCTACACCTCCTGGTCTTCTGCCGTGTGAAGAGGTGCTTGCCATGCCCGCTGAAGAAGACCATCGTTCTGACCTGAGGCCTCACACAGTGTTGGCGGAAGGCATTATCTCAACAGCCCTTCCCCACACCTGCAGGGGAAAGGCACCTAGCTGAATATGGCTGATAAAGGGCCCCATGAAGAGCCATGCCTGGACACCACTAGCTCACACACTCGCCATGCACACCTGCTTCCCCAGAATCCCAAGTTTGGCGTTAGACGTTCAAGTCAACTAGGATCTACCAGTTAAGTGATCTTGGTTGAAACACAAAGGAAGGATTGAAAGCTAAACATTCAGAAAAACACACTGGATAGATGAAGGGTGAGAAGGTAGGTCGGAAGGCTAAGTCTGCAGCACAGAATTCTAGAAATGTGTGTGTATGCGCGCGCGTGTGTGTGTGCATGCGTGTGTAAAACAGGGACCATTTCCATCCTTGAATGCATTCTTTTACAAGGAATGTGTATGCGCCAGAGAGGACAAGAAACACATCTACTGAACACAGGGAAAAAGAGCTGCCTCCGTACGTAAGAGGGCTGGAGATCTAGGAATCAGAAACTAGAGTAAGAAGGCATCGTGTAGGAGATTATAATGGAAACAAAAAACCACCACTGTGTCCCAGGCATGGCCAGTTCTCATGAGTCACCTCTTTCCATCCTCCCAACGGCCAGCACAACATTTGGCATATAGTCAACACTCAAAACTGTACAGAAAATGTCCTAGTGTGAACGGTCCTGAGATAACCATTATTGATTACATCTTACAGATAAGATCTTGAGGTCCAGGAAGGTTAAGAAGCTGGCCCTACGCGTCAAAGCTACTAAAGACGCCAGAGGGAAATGCCTTCGAAGTACCTGTGGTTGAGGAGACTCATTTGTAAGGATCGTGTGGGGAAATCTCGAAAAGGGTGTGGCGCTTGAGTGTCAGCCAGGGACGGGGAGAGAGAGCGAATAAGAGGCCAAGAGAAAGAAATGGGTTAGGAAGGAGAAAGGATTGCTTGGGAAGAACTGGGAAGCGAATGGCTGACACTGGAGCCAACTGGGGCGCGGGGGGTGTGGGGGGCAGGATCCAGGCTAAGGTAGCAGGTGAACTGGGTGGGGCAGGAGGAAAAAACGCACTTCAGCTGGGAGGAAACTGACAAGGTCTCTGTGGGGCAGGAAGGGTGCTGAACTAGGCAGCAAAGAGGGCAGTGTGCTCTAGGGGTGGCACAAAAAAAAAACGAGCTGGGAAGACAAGGGAGGAAAATGTTAAGGATCAGCCTACAGGGTGGGGCAGGGAAGTCTGAGTGGTGAGCGTTCTGGAATGTCGTGGCTAGGGAGAGGGCGTGGTCTGAATGCAAGGCTTTCAGTGGGGAAGTGTACCCTGGGTAGTCCTAGCGAGGGGGATGAGGGTGACCAGCATCACCTGCTGCCCCTGTCTCACCTGTAGGAGCTGCTCACTGTACTCGTCACCTCCTCCCGGATTTGCCTATTGAGGGCATCTGCCACGGCGCGCCCTTTGCCACCTTCGGGCCCTGCGGCTTGAGCATGGGCAGCGGGTGTCTGCTCGTGCCCCTCAGAGCGACGCACCATCCAGGCCGGTCCCGCCTTCCTCCTGGTGTCGCGCTCGTCTGCACCAGAGGCTTTTCCAGCTGCAGGGCCGCCCTCCTGGGTCAGGGACTGGGCGGGGGGCAGAGGCGACTCATCGTGCCCTTCGGTGCGAGTCACCATCCACGAGGGCCCGGCCCTTCTGCGTGTGTCACGCTGGTCTGCACCAGAGGCCTTTCCAGCTGCAGGGCCGCCCTCCTGGGTCAGGGACTGGGCCGGGGGCAGAGGCGACTCCTCGTGCCCTTCGTTGCGAGTCACCATCCACGCGGGCCCAGCCTTTCTGCGTGTGTCGCGCTGGTCTGCACCGGACGCCTTTCCCGCCGCCGGCACCCCGGCTCCTCCAGCGCCTTCCGGGTCCCGGGCTTCGGCAGAGGTCTGCATGACCCCGCGCTCTTGGCTCTGCGGCCGACGCTTGGGTACCCCAAGAATAGACTGAGAAGGTTGCGATGTCGAAGGGATCTGCACCGGCTTGGGGATCCAGGGGTGGTCCCCGCGGCGGGGCAGTGGCCAGGCGCGGAAGTCCTTCTGGTACTGGGTCTCGCGCTCGAAGGGCGCGTCGGAGGGCTGGTACTCGCTGCGCGGCCGGCAGCTGGGCTCTGGCCGCTGCACCTTCCAAGCTCGGTAGTCCTGGCGCATCACCGAGTCCGCGGGGCCTGAGCCGGAAGTGGAGCCAGAGGCCGCGCCCAGACCCAGCCCGCTCCGGCCGGGGGCGGTTGCAGTCTCGCGGTCGCCGCTGGGCCCGGGCGCTGGCCCTGTTGCCCGGGCAACTACATCCGACTCACCCTGGGCCGGCTGCGTCTCTATGGCGACAGCGCGCGAGGGGGGCGCTATCGCTGACTGCAGCGGCGCTAGCGGCTGCGGCGGGGCTCCTGGATGCTCGGTGGCCTCCGAGTACTTGGTGAAAACCAACGGCACCGCAATGTCCGCCTTGTCCAGCTGGTTCCAGAAGCGGGCAATGCAGCAGGCCCTTGTGATGCACGGCCACGCCATGATGCTAGGTGCAAAACCGGTCGTCTCTCTCTTTTGGTGGTCCTAAATCAAACCTCCAGTCTCCCTTTAACCCCAACCCAGACCCGCCAATGTGGTTCCCACCGCTCGCTCCTCCTAGCAGTCGTTTGCCTCGTCCTCCTCCCTCAAAGAGCACCCGGGGACGAGGTATAGCTGAAATAAAGTCCGCAAAGTCCCTCGATTACCGACTGCAAACGCCTTCGGCAGAGAACCTGCTGTATTCGGCGACGGATGGGAGCGAGGCTCGGCGTTCCAGAATCCAGGCCTAGGGCGTCTGGGCGCGCCCTCCCTGCGGCTACGGTGTCGTGGAGACCCCGGCCGAGTGAGGAGATGTTTGGCAGGGAGGCTGTGGCCTTAAGCCATGGCGCAGAGAGAGGACTGGGCAGGACCCGCAAACAGGCTCATCTCTCCTTTCTGTCTGGTTCAAGTCGGCCGCCTAGTAGGGCTAGGCAGCGGTCACCTCCAACCCAGACAGAGCAGCGAACCCAGCTGCCTCTGCCGTCTCGATACCCCTGGTGATGCCGCAGCCGCTGCCGCCGCCGTCTCTGCTGCAGAGAGGCGGCCCCACCCTTTTCTGCAAGGGGTGGGGGGTGATCAAGAAAAGATGCTGAGAGTGTGCGCGCTGCAGAAAAAAATCACCTGCTGTCGTCAGCGCGCGCTGCTGAGAGGTTGCCCTCTCCCTGTCCCCTCCTCCCTTCTCTCCAGCAGCTCCTCCCTCCTCTGTTTCTAGGCAACGGCAGAACTGGGTCCTTGGTAGGTTCAAGTCCCAAGCTCCTGAGGACTTGCTGTCCTTGGGTTGCTGGCTTCTCAACATGGATCCGAGTCTCCTCTTTAGTAAAAAAATAGGCTCGACCACTGGAAGAGTGCAAATATTAAATTAAAAAGTATAAGAATCCCCCCTCCCAATGAAGTGTCTGTCTCAGAATAGATGCTTTTGTTCTTTTTTTTAATTTTTATTTTACTTTTAAATATGTGCTTGTGTCTATGGGTATGGGAGCCTGTTGAGGTCAGAGGGCCAGAGGCGTCTGGTTCCCTTGGGTCTAGAGTTACTGTTATGAACTTCCATCCCAGCCTGTGAGGGTGCTGGGACACAACTCGGGTCCTCTGGAGCATCAGAGTCTTTAACCACTCAGCTATCTCTGCAGGCCCTGAACAGACACTTTTAAAAAGGAAGCTGATGTTAGCGGCCAGTCACCAGGCAGTACTTACACTCAGCGCTGCTGGCTCCTGGCCTACACCACGCCCGTATATACACAGGGCTTCCCCAGGTGTATGAGATCGGGAGATGCAGGCTTAGTGGTATCCTGGCTGCTCCTTCTCTGAGTATCTAAGCAATCCTCAGGAAACTGCGTTCTCTACCCTCTCAGAGAAAGACTCATTCTTCTTCAGCCCAGAGACTACACAGGGGCAGAGGATGAGGAAAGAAGATTCTGGAATGGGGCCTAAGGAGGGTGGCTGAGAGTTCCCCAGAAAAGAGCAAGACCTTCCCTAAAGGGATTCTCTGTTGTGTTCCTGCCTTACTTTGTATTTTGGAGTGGATCAGACATGGGAGTCTAAGGGACCTGGATTGGCTCTGATATTCTCTTTGTGACTTGGGTTATCTCTGGCTGCAGCCCCCTGGAGAGAAAGAGAGGAGGTAATAGGTTTCTTGAGAGGAGCTAGCGCTCCCAGCAGAAGCCTGTGAGCAGTCCAATCAGCTAACCAGGGATTCACATCCTGGCTTTGGGACTTCTGGCTGCAAGGCCATAAACAAATCCTGGCACCTTTTTGTCCCTTGATGTAGTCTCAGAATGAGGGTATCTACTCTGAACTTGTGAAGTTATTTTGAAAACTAACATGACACCGTTCGCTGGAGATAGTTAGCGGCAGCCCCTGGCATTAATATTCAAAAGGCCCGTCCAGGAGTCCTGCAGGCAGAGTCTCGCACATAAGCGACTCCGAAGCCTGCTCCAGGAGACCCTTTGCCTTTGCTTCCTCATTTTAAAAAAAAATCATTTTCTAGTCGGGTAGTGGTGGCGCACGCCTTATATCCCAGCACTTGGGAGGCAGAGGCAGGCGGATCTCTGTGAGTTTGAGGCCAGCCTGGTCTACAAGAACTAGTTCCAGGACAGGCTCCAAAACTACAGAAAAATCCTGTCTCAAAAAACAAAAACAAACAAACAAAAATCTAAAAATTTCTGCGATTTCTTGACTTTTTTTGGGGGGGGGTTGGTTTGGCTTCGAATCAAAAATCTGCCTGCCTCTGCCTCCCGAGTGCTGGGATTAAAGGTGTGTGCCACCACCACCCATCTTGTTTCTTTACTTTTAATTAACCTAATTTGTGATTTATGTGATATGTACGTACATGTCCAGGAGAGGACACTGTCTGTTCTGTTCTGTCAATCTCTGCCTTTTTCTCTTGAGACAAGGCTTCTCACTGAACTGCAGCTAGGCTGGCTGACCAGCCAAACCCTGCATTCTCCTGGCTCCGCCCCTCACAGCCTGCGCGGGGGAGGGGGGCTCCAGGTGCTCACCGGGCCATACCCTCATTTTACTTCACTGCACAGGATCAAGCTTGCACAGCAAGGGAACTGCACTAGGAGGTCAGAATTCTGGGAGGAAAGAGCACATTATGGTAAGGTGAACATGCCTTCTTAGGGGTGCTCTCCTCATCAGGCCCCTAACCTGTCCCACTGGATTAACCCTTAAGGAGGAGACAAGGTCATGTCAAGATTCCATCCTTCAGTGTTTCAGATTACCTCTGACTCAATAATAGGCCCTAAGAACCCTTCCTATATTTCCATGGGTTGGCATCTCATTTTTTTTTCTGGACCAAGTAATATTTCTTTATATGGACACACACATACACACACACACACATATGATATACATCATAGTTCATTTATCCATTCACCTAATGAATGGCATGCTGAGTGCTTCAATGTTTGTAGAATTATTTTTTAAAAAGCTGCTAAAACAGTGTGTATGTTTTTCTATTGACGAAAGTTTTGAACGCCTTTGGGTGATTATCAAGGAGGGGGATTGTGAGCACATGGCCCAAGGATGGTTAGTTACTAACAAAACAAACTGTCTTTCACTGTGGTTGTACCAGTGTTGAGTTCTCAGTATTAACAAATGAGAGCTCCTGTCTCTCCACTCCTTGCTGGTATTGGGCTGTCTGTATTTTGGTTTCATTGTTGCTTTAATTTGCAAGTCTCTGCAACATATTATATTGAGCATTTTTGCCCAGGTACAGCTTATCTGGTGAGGGATCTGTTCAAGAGGCTGCTCCAACCTCCACATACATGCTGTGGCACATCCATACACACACATACACACTCAAAATAAATAAACACATGTAAAAATCTAACAATTAGTAGTGTTCATTCTAGAACTGAGCACTGGCTTCATAGAAGAAATGTGGTAGATATAATTCTGCCCCCAAATATTAAAGGGAAAGAGCATACGTCAACTCAAGAGCATGATCATATTTGACACCCAGTAATCAATTCTTAAAATATCCTGGAGGGTAGACCTTCCCCGGTAAATCAAAGGCGCCTACCCAACTTCACGCTTTATGGTAAAATGCTGGGCTCTTTCCTCCTTCCACTACCAACCAGGGGACCATGGGGCGCAATCACAAGCCTTCAGTGATGGGGCAATGTAGGCCTTGGAGGACTCACAGGACTTCTGCGGAGGCTGCCGTGAGATCAGACATAGGAATAAAAGAAAGCAGAGTAACGGTATCTTTGAATTCTGAAGTCAGAATAAAAGAATGATAGCATTTTAGGATCATAAAACATTTATTTGGAGTCCTGGAATCTCAAAGCAATGAAATGACATCGTTCCAGAATCATAGAATAAATGAATATTAGAAGATTAGGTCATATATTAGAAGCTAGAAACCACAGGCTCATACACACGTGTACATAAACACACACACATGCACACACACTCTTCTTCACTGGTTGCTGCTATAGGTTATCATAGACTGAACGTATATGTCCACCAAACACATATGTTGCTAAAGCCCTAACACTAAGGGACTAGCACCAGGGGGAATATAGATGAGGTCATGAGAACAGACACCCCCCCCACCCAGATAAATGCCCTTATAAGAAGAGGAAGAGGCTGGAGTTCCATGTTTGTGACATCTGTAAAGGAGGAAATGGGCCCTCACCAGACACCACTTCTGTCAACGCTTTGATCTTGTGTTTCCCAGGCCCTGGAGCCATGGGAAATGAACACATGTTGTTTCGGCTCCGGGTCTATGGTGTTCTGATACAACCCCAAACAGGCTAAGATACACAGTAAACATGTCTTCTTTTAACTGAACGAGACCACATGAGAACATTTTGAGGACATATTTTCTCAGATTTCTAAGCATTCTGTCGTTCTTTATCATGTCCAAATATTACACTAAGCAAGATCGTGACTCTTCTGTTACTCGTGATATTTTCATCTGTTAATTTTAATGATTGATGTCTTTTCCCTAGCACACTTATCACAAGTGTTTGTCCAATGCTGATTTTTCTGACTCCGTTATCCCTTCCGCATTTACTAGCTGGAGTCTTTCGTTATAACACTATTCATGAATAATTTTCTTGTGAGTTTATTTTATTTAACTTTATTTTTGGTTTTTTGAGACAGTGTTTCTCTGGCTGGCCTCGAACTCACAGAGATCCACCTGCCTCTGCCTCCGGAGTGCTGGGATTAAAGGCATGCGCCACCACTGCCCGGCTCGTTATTTCATTTCTTATTTTGAGGCTTATATTGTCCAGGTCTTGCAAGTGGGAGTCCTTGGTGAAGGTGCTGAGAAACCTTAAAAAAAAATGGCCTAAAGCTATAGAGAAACCCTTTCTTGAAAAAAAAAAGTGCAGATACATTTTAAATTCCATCCTAAACAAACTCCTTGCCTGCCTTCCTCCAGTGTTGCCATCATGTGGAAGAAGGTATAAATGCAGGTTTTGTGTGTGTTTCTTAAATACATACAAATCAACAAATATGTATTCAACATTTTTTTCTGAATGATGTTGTCCCTTTTTTCTTCTTTCTTTTTAATTTTTTCTAAGACAAGGTTTCTCTGTGTAGCCTTGGCTGTCCTGGAACTCACTTTTTAGACCAGGTTGGCTTCCAACTCAGAGATCCTCCTGCCTCTGCCTCCCGATTAAAGGCGTGAGCCACCACTGCCTAGTTTATGATATCATCCCTAAAGCTTTCTCAAGGCTGAGGTGATGACTCAGCATACCCAAGTACTTGCTGGACCAGTATGAAGACCTGAATTCAGGTACCCAAAACTCACACAAAAGTTGGGTATGACTGTATGTGTCTGTTACTCTAACACTGGGGCTGGAGACAGGTGAACTAAAAATCATTAAGAATTACTTATTTTACTTTATGAGTATATATGATCATGTATCATTGGTTCCCATGGAATTGGAGTTACAGATGCTTGTGAACCGCCATATAGGTACTTGGAACTGAAGCTGGGTTCTCTGCAAGAACATGAAGTGCTACTAGACAATGAACCATCTCTTCAGCTTTAACAAGTGGCTCTTTAAGGAATTGTCTCTCCACTGACATTCTCATAGGTTTTATTTTTATTTATTTATTTATTTATTTGAGCTAGGATCCTTCTATATAATCCTGGCTATTT